ATTAGGTCCGCAATCCGCGCATATAAGGAGATTGCCCCCAACGGTTTTCGTGCTTTTTTCGCGAGCTCTTTCAGCGTTACAATCATGTCCGGCCGCGGCAAGGGCGGGAAGGGCCTGGGCAAGGGCGGCGCCAAGCGCCACCGCAAGGTGCTGCGCGACAACATCCAGGGCATCACCAAGCCCGCCATCCGGCGGCTGGCCCGGCGCGGCGGCGTCAAGCGCATCTCCGGCCTCATCTACGAGGAGACCCGCGGGGTGCTCAAGGTGTTCCTGGAGAACGTGATCCGGGACGCGGTCACCTACACGGAGCACGCCAAGCGCAAGACGGTCACGGCCATGGACGTGGTCTACGCGCTCAAGCGCCAGGGCCGCACCCTCTACGGCTTCGGGGGCTGAGCGCACCGGGCCCCCCGTACTTCCAAACACCAAAAGGCCCTTTTCAGGGCCGCCCACTTGCTTCATGAAAGAGCTGCATCGTTCGTCATTACCTTTTAACCTTTGATTTGTGTTTGAGTACTTGTTCCAAACGGGTTAAGAATGGTTAGTTACTGTTTGGCGTGAGGCGCTTTTTTGATCTGATCGCTTTGTAACTCCGGGGGGTCACTTCATCGTCGGGCTGTGTCGTTGGTTTGCCGCATTCGGGTCTGTTTAAGCCGCGTCCGGGGCGTTTTTATGGCGACAGAGCAGCTCACGCGGCGTTGTCTGTTCTCCCAGGGAGCGTTCTCCGTCCTCGACTACTTCGAGTTGGAGATCGCGCTCGCTCGGCTCTTGAACACTAGGAAGCGGGGACCCCCGGTCGGCGGGTAGCGGGTGAGCCTCCCCCGCCGGGCTCCAGCGCCCAAGATGGCGGGGCGGGCGAGGGACAAAGGGAGCGCGCCGGCGGCGGCGGGGCGGCCGGGGAACAAAGACGAGTCCCCGCGGAGCGGCCGGCCCCGCCCGGCCCCCGGCTGGCCGCGCTCTTCCCGCCGGCTCGGTTGTCCCGACGGCCCTGGGGGAAATGCACTCGCGGGGAGACCTGGCAGGTGTTTAGCATAGCCCCCGAAATTTTCTGACAGTTTGAAAACCTCAAGTAGATAAGGATGTTACCTAATGAGTGGCATTTTTAAAACCTGTACATACAGGCATCAGGATATTTCACCCCAAATTACTAAGTGTAGGGAAGGAAATAGTCCTCTTCCTTCAAGGTCTTCCAGCTGGACTAAAAATTTACATGAGACATGAACAGGAGAAAAAAAATCCAAAGTTTTATTTCCTGCGTGCAGAGGCCCAGTAATGAAATTGAGACACAAATGACTGAGGCAGGCAGTTTTTATACCTTTTAGAAGACAATACATTTGTGAGGAATTGACAAGATCAAAAACGTGTAAATTAACCTTTAATACAACTTTTAATATTAATGAAAATTTACTGCACTGACCGTATTTTTCTCACTTTTACAAAGAGTGGGAAAATAGAGAATAGAGAAAACTGGCACGGACTAATACTAGCCATAGATGAGCATTTGGAAACTACTGATTTGTTCAGTATTTCAACATTGAAGAAAGTGTCTCTGAATCAGCTCAGCTAATCAGAGAGGGTGGCAGGGTTAAAGCAGATTTCCTCTTTCCCCTATAATTATATCTACTCACTTTCTGTTTTAACCCTTATATTCTATTATTATAAGTAATCCACACATATGTTATTAATAGAATATTATGAAGGAATCCACACAATGAAATTTCTACTTAATATTTTATATTCCAGCAAAGCATCCTATAAATTTCTTTTAAGGCAACCAACAAAGCAAATGTCAACCAATAGATGAATTGTGACATAATCAGGCATAATCACAGAATCTAACATTGCTACGAGAACAAATGAGCTTTAGCCCCATGTGACAACATGGCAACTCATTGTTCCCTGAAAAAAAAGCAATTCCCAGAAACTAGATGCAGTATAATACTGTGTTGATCCATTTAAGCTAATTATGCTGTGATTAAACAGTCACCAAACCCCAGTGACTTACTGTGATAAAGGTTTATGTTTTGCTCATAATGTTTATTGACTGTGGGTCATTTATTTGGTATAAAGATTTCTTATTTTGAGGTTATCTGAATTTCCTTTGGGCGTATAAAAGGATAGTTCTTTTATGAAGTGAGACTGATAGGAGTCTTCTAAGTTGTTGGCAGTACAACAGCAATCTTTAGGGTGGCCCTAGATTTCCCTAGTCTGGGAATGATTGTGGATGGCAATTTTGTGATTCTCTTCTTGCTTTCAAAGTGCAGCTGCTTTTCTGAAGATGATTCTTCATTCTGGCCAGACACTACAGAGAGGTTAGGCAAAGAGAATTGGAGGCATGGGAACAAAACAGGAATAAAAATCTCCTAAGCAGCTCTTGTGTGAATTTCCAGGGTCCCTTCCTTGTAGCCCAACTTACTGTTAAATGAGGTACCCTTAGTACTAGTGAGACATGAGGAAGTCCCTGGAAAATGAGTCACATGTTGCTTGAATTGGCAGGCAGAGGCAGGGAAGTCTCACAGCCTAGGTTGTCCTCAAAAGAGTTCAGGGTAAAGAGATGTTCTAAGGAGGGGTTTAGACTGTTAGAAGGGGGTTAGATTGCTCACACTGCCAGACAAGGAACCCTAACTCGTGTCACTTGCTGGTAGTCATTGTGGCCTACTGCCTTGTTCAAACCCTCAAGACTCAGATTCTAATATGGGCAGGAACTTCCCTAACACTTCAACCAGAGGCTTTAGCTTCAGTTGATGTTTTGGAAGACTTTCCTCTGTGTAGGTACTGTCCTAAATGCTTTACTGTGTTCTTTTACTGATCATCCAGCTATGCCATGTGGTGGTTACTAATTATTATTACCATTTTAGAGGTAAGGAAATGCTCACCAAAGGTTTAAGAAATTGGCCCAAATTTAGCATTGAAATAGGCCGTCAGGACTGTATCGTGTCCTAAGGGATTCCTCCTTAAGCCATGCTTGTTTGTATATTTCTTTTCATGTATTGTTTTCAAATGTACTTAAAATTAGCTTTTTGGGGAGCGAGAAACGAATGCCTTAATTACATGTGGGGCTTAGAGAATCTTCTTCACGAGCCCCATTACAAAATTGAGTCACTTATGTAGGAAATGGTTGGGGTTCAGAGCCGATGGCCAAGAAGGAATTCTTGAGATGTCTTTGGTGCAAAAAGGTGGTTTTAGAGAGCTGCGCTGGGGCCATGAGGCGTGTCCCGTTATAGGCTTTCAAGTTGGGAGGGGGTTAGGACAGCACAAGCCTTCAAGGCATTTTGGAAAGAAGGTTTTTAGGACCTTGAGGGAGCTAGCTATTGTTAGGAAAAGGTCATTTATTACTACTTAGTAAAAACTCAGTCATGAGACTCTTCAGATGTATATCAGTGGATCGAATGCTTGGAGGATGACTGCTAACAGATATCTTGGTGGGGGTAGAGCTAAAGGAAGGTTCCAAGGGAATTTTTATATGTTAAAGTAGACTTACAGGATCCTGGGGGGTTGGGATAATGTTAAGCTAAGATTGCCTTTGCCCTTAGCAAAGTGTCCACATCAAGGCAGCTGAGCTCCCAGAGGAAGGTCACTCTGACTGTTTCAAGGACTTGTCAATGGGCTGTGGGAAGTAAGGAAATTTAATTTTTTCTCTTGCCTTTGCTTCCCACATCACTTAAATTAATGTGCACAGAAATCTACTATGTAGGTATTTGCAGATGAAGACATGTAGCTAATAGGTACAAACAGATTTCTGAGCTCCGTTTTACACCGCCAATGCTCATGGTTTTCCCTCTCCAGCACAGCGCTCAGAAAAATTAAATTTGCTGTCTGGTGATCCTTAGCTTCCATATCTTGCTATATACTTTGGCTGGTTTAAGAACTGTGCTGTGCATCAAAGAACAAGTGTTATCTCCTGGTCAGTTTTACTTTCATTTTATTCTAATGCTCAGTTTTCCCTCTGAGCCTGTTACCCAATCCTATGACTGCAACAGGCATCTATAGCTTGAGAAAAATAGTGTGGAAACAGTCCTTAGGGATTCAGATCCCACTTTTATTTAAGGGACTATTTAACCTTAATTCCTCAGGTCATTCACTTGTAAAATGGGAGATTCCATTTTGTATGATTATGATTGTAGGCTGAAATCAGGCGAAGGACAAGCACACGAACGTTAATTCCTTTTAAATCTTCTCCTTTAAAATAAAATCCTAGGGAATGAAGATGTGACTGAGGACAAGATCATTCAGGACACGGAGAGGTTTAGGGTTAGGGACTCCTTAGGGCTGAAGAGTGGAGGCTGATGGATTGAGGCAGATCCCAATCTTCACTCCCCACCCCAGGAATCACAGACGGGAGACTTTCACTTGCTTCCTCCGCCTTCAGGTTATCCAGTTGTAGGCAGTGTCTCTTAAACCCTTGTATATTAAGCCCGGTAGAAAACTAGTGGATGAGTTCCCTGACCTTGCGAAGAGTCAATATTTAACTACGTTAAAAATGTGCGGTGAAGAACTTAGTGGAATTTGAAGGACGTCGGGTTTGAGAGACTGGCAGAGACCCGCCGTGGTTTAGAAATGCAAGTCACAGAGTACATTGTTCCAGGAGATGCCGCTGTAGCCTCTCGCAAGCTCAAAGCAAGCTAAAAGAAAAAAAAAAGGTAGTTTCATTTTCTGAAGAATGCTTAGCTCCTGTCACTTGTTTTGACTTAGGGCTACTCAAAACCAGGACTGTTTTCCCCTACTTAACTCCCGACCCAGGGTAATGGGAGAGGACAAAATGAAAACAGGAAAATGAAAGCTCTCGAGGTGGGGGCACCCTAGGTAATATTGCTCTCAGTAGCTACCGAGTAGCGAAGCAGAATGTACCAGTCCCAATTGCTTACAGATTCATTCGTTGGTGATTCGCTCATGCCGGGGGCAATTTGTGTCCCCAAATTTTGTTAGTTCTCGAATGTCAGAATGGATGTTCTTGCCATTTTCACTAAGCTTGTGAAAGTTACGCTCTTTAAGTGACAATGTGGGTGGCTCTTAAAAGAGCCTGATGTCGCGGGTGCTGTTGCAAATGTTAAGTTTATTTGGAGCTGGTGTACTTGGTGACGGCCTTGGTGCCCTCGGACACGGCGTGCTTGGCCAGCTCCCCGGGCAGCAGCAGGCGCACGGCCGTCTGGATCTCCCGCGACGTGATGGTCGAGCGCTTGTTGTAATGCGCCAGGCGGGACGCCTCGCCCGCGATGCGCTCGAAGATGTCGTTGACGAACGAGTTCATGATGCCCATGGCCTTGGACGAGATGCCCGTGTCAGGGTGCACCTGCTTCAGCACCTTGTACACGTACACCGAGTAGCTCTCCTTGCGGCTGCGCTTGCGCTTCTTGCCGTCCTTCTTCTGCGCCTTGGTCACCGCCTTTTTGGAGCCCTTTTTGGGGGCCGGAGCTGATTTAGCTGGTTCAGGCATTGCACCAAACTAACACCCCTAAAACAAAACGAAAGATGTACGCCCACGGTCGAGCGCCCTCCTATTTATTTGGTGTGTATGCAAATTAGGGATAGCAGAATAACGATTTCTGATTGGTCTCTTCAGTATCTTAACCCCTGATAGGCTCCTTGGTTATCCTAAACTCTCATTGGCTCTTTTCCGTATTTCAACTTTAAATAATTTGACCTTGCAACCGTTCACGCCCTATGCAAATTAGGAGCATTGTTGTTTGGGATATGCCTTTTGATTGGCTGGAATTTGTGTTCGGCCAACGGCATAGGCTGCTTTACCAAACCGCTGCAGAGTATAATAGTCTAGCTCCTGACATTGTAGAACGCTTGATTTTTTTCTGTTTTTTGTCACGTTATCACTGCTCTAGCTATGTCCGGTCGCGGCAAGCAAGGCGGCAAGGCCCGCGCCAAGGCCAAGACGCGCTCGTCGCGGGCCGGCCTGCAGTTCCCGGTGGGCCGCGTGCACCGCCTGCTCCGCAAGGGCAACTACGCCGAGCGGGTCGGCGCCGGCGCGCCCGTCTACCTGGCTGCCGTGCTGGAGTACCTGACGGCCGAGATCCTGGAGCTGGCGGGCAA